ATATCAGTACTGCTTTGCTGCTTCAAGGGTTATGCTTGCAAAACAGTTTTTTTTTAACCTATTTTTATTTGCTTTACTTTTGAAAGCTAACATAGCAAGATCATGCCTTATTCAAAACTGTCAAATACACAGTACAGAAAGCTATCAGTATGAGTATGCATGTTCACTCCACTTTTGCTTGCACAGATAAACATTAAAATTCAGAGGCATGAAAATTGAATTTATAAGGATTTGGCTTTCTGACAGAGCTTGCCAAGTTCACTGCTACCTGTGACACCACCAACCCTGTATCTATAGCCTAAATCACTTCCATAAACACATGCACATTTTCAGGAAGTTTTTTGTTTTCTTTTTGAACAGCCAGAATTAGGCCTGTCCCCTTTCTTGGGATGTCCCTTTTGGCTTTGGGACATGGACATTGTGCCCACAGACCCTCCTTTCTTTCTTTAAAAATCCAGCCTACAAATAGCTCCAAGTGGCCTCGTTCCCATTCCAGTCTTGTGCGGGCTCCTGGGGTGCCAGTGGGCTCAGCACGCTCACCACCTGCCCTTACCTGTTTAGGTCACCCAACCCCCAGCCCTGTAGCAGGGGCTTCTTCCTCCTGCCCTGGAGCTCCAAAATCAAGTGTCAGAGTTATGAGTAAATGGAGTGGGCAGGGGAGACCACAGGAGACAAAGTCCCAGACCAGGTTGTGACTAAAACTGCAGTGGGAAGAGCATCTGATTCAGATGAAGGCGACCAGGAGAAGAGGTCACCAGGGATCAGGACTGAGATGACAGAGCAGGTACGAATGCTCCAGGCAGCTTTCTTTCTTCACAGTATTTCTAACAGATTATCACTACATGTTTGTGGGTCAGTCTCTTTCCCTCTTTCAACTGTGAGCTGTTAACCTCCACCACGGTTCAGGGATGAGCTGACCATGGTGACCCTGGCTGGCTGGTAGGGAACCAGCGCACACACGAGACAAAACTGGCACCAGTCTGGATATCAGCAGGAAGGAATTGTGAAAGGGGTTCCAAGATCTGATCGGATCCTGAGCAGACCTTGGGCCCAATGTCAAGAACACTGGTTTCAGGAAGTCTAACTGCTGTGAAAAAGTTCAAGTCAGCTAACTGCTCTGGTCTTGTCAGACTCTGAGAGACTGTCAAGGTCATCTGGAAAGACAACTCCTCGGAATCTGAGGCCCCTCTCTGCAACCATGGCATACTTGTACCAGGGACCTGAGAGCTCACCTGGTCTCCATTTGCTATTCTGCAGAAAGAGAACCCAAGCTGCAGTGAAGGGCACAGAGGGCAGGGTGGAAATTGAGACACTGCTAGCTAGCGCTGTGCAGGCTCACTCTGCAGGCATCTCGTAAGCACGCTTTACGTGTTCACTAGTTTAATCCTTGGTTCAGTTGTGTCCCCTGGTATGTGTGAATGTGACCTTACTTGACATTGAGTTGTAAAGACTTAATAAAGTCAAGATGAACTCATTAGGGTGTCTTAATCCAACACAGCTGGATCCGTCTAAGAGGAAAACATGCACGTCGCCATACAGGGGGAATGATGTGCAACAGACATGTGGACAAGGGCCACGTGTGAGCAGCATCGTAACACACAGACACAATGGAAGACAGCCATGTGAAGACAGAGCAGGTCAGCTCTGTTGCCATCAACCAGGGCACACCTGGAGCCACCAGAAGCCAGATGAAGCCAGAAAGGGTGTTCCCCAAAGGGCCCACGGGGAGGAGGAAGGCCTTCCTGCGGAGCCCCCTTTCTGGCTTTGTCTATTTCCCATTTTCCCTTCTCCTTATCATGTATCAATTCACTGACAAAAACATAAAAGTGGGAGATATAATTCCTTCTTTACATTTGTTAGAAAATGAAGGACTCTAAAGACTGTTTTCATTTAACAGAACTATTACAAATAGGAGATTCAAAATAACAAGTATTCATTATATTCCTTTATTGTACTCGATCAATTCTGTTTGAGGTATAAAAATTCCTATGACACTAGTAATAAATTAATTTTAAGTTTACCACCCATAAAATTATACATGGTATCAGGAAAACCTCTGAGCATTCTCAGAGCACCAGTCTATAAACATAATTCTGCAAAATGGTTAATTCACAAATTATCTTTTTAAACTAAGTCTCTTAAAAATAAGTCCTTTCACTATCTGAGACATAAAGCCATTGTTCTTCCTTGTTACCAATGAACAGTGGAGTTTTGAGGAAAGAGCTTGCTTTGTAAATACTCCACCAATTCTTGTCTGGACTTGAGCACCTCAATCTCATGATAGGGGACCTGAGAAGGAAGGACAATGAAATGGTCATGATACTCCCCAGTCCCAGATGGCTTCCTGTTTTCCCACACCTGGCTTCTCACACCCTACCCCACACAGGAGTAAGCTAGGAGGGCAAAGGCCACAGTGGCCTCTTCCTCCTGTGTGCCCATGCCTAGGGCAGTGCTGGCCCTGGGGAGGGGCCTGGGAAGGGCACACTGGATACACATGTGGGTTGTCCATATAAGAAAAATCTCTCCAATTAGAGCCCACAATGCCTACCAAAAGCAAGCAG